ACATGATCCAATTGGTCTTCTTACTTTGTTGATGAGTGCCTTCATAATAAACCAAAGTTCTCCATTTTCCAATTAAAGTTGTTCCATCTTTGAATGAATTGATTGACATTTTCCTGTTGCCTTCCAGTACCCATCTAATATTGATCGTTTTGGCCTCTTTCCATTTTTATATTTTCTATCTCTTGGTGAAAAAAAGTACCACTCATTTTGTGATTCATAATTGCTATATTATCCTGCATTTATAATTAATTAATACATAAAACACTATTACTTTATTTGCTGTGCTTCATAGCAAGAAATAATGCATTATCATTAACTATGAATCAAGGATAACATAACTTTTAATCTCTTACATTTGAGAAAGTTGTTCATTTAGTCCCTCAACTTTATTTTCTATTATTTTAGATTTTAATGTTTTCTAAACTTATCTAAGTAATCCTTTTGTTTCATATAACATCATTAAAGTATGCTGACATGACAAATAGAATAATGATGTGAAATTCATGTATATTAATAATGTGTGAAGCAAGAATAGTGGCTGGGATATCAATTTATTAATCACTTTCGTCCTTAATGTTATTGATCTAATCCATAAATAGGCCTAATATAGATTCCTAATTATGATTAAGGTTTGGTTCTTGTCTACTATAATTGTCATGTCTTCTTTATTCTAAAACTTCTTCCATTATAAGGATTCTGATATATGGCTTTGCTCAGTTTTTATGTAATTCATCATCATTTTAACAAGTCATCACAAAAAATAACAAAGATTGTGTATAAGTTAGTCATTGTTAAGTCATTATGATCATATTTAAACATATAGAAAATAGCATTGCAAATAAATGAAACATGAGGGACTAGGAGCAATAGAGAAAAGATATAAGGACTAATACAAAAAATATGTTAAAAGTATGAGGACCAACAATTATATTTTTCTTTAAAAACAAAACATAAAACAATTTCTTAAAAAATATTAATAAAATATATTGAATCATAAAAAAAAGATATAAAAAAACTTACTGGATAGTTGTTGAGGATTGAACTTATAGATATCAACTTCAATTATTGGAATTGGTTCCAACGGCTCATTCATCACTTTCTTCTTCAAAAAGGCCATGATCAGCTCTTATTTTGTAGGGCAAAATTGAAATCCACATGGAACCATTTGCCAAAAATCATTAATATTATTGTTTTCACACGTTAATCTTCTACTCTTACTCTCTCTTTTTTCCCAAAAATCATTCATGTTTTGATCACTTAGCGAAAAAGATGATGAAATTTTCCTCTTGTTCATCATGCGTACGTGGTTGAAATTTGCAAACAATCTGCGATATAAATTAAAGACTAGGATTAAAACGGTCTGTTTTGATTTACAATGAAATTCAAAGCGCATAAGAGAGGTATTTTAAATAAATAAACTAATCACATTTTACCAATCTATAAATGAACTAAAAGTTTTAGGTGCAGTTTGTTCACAATTAAAAAATAAATAATTTTTTAAATAGTTTAAAGATTTTATAAAAACACAAATATTATCTTATGTTTTGTTATAATAATAAAAAAATAATTGTGATTTAGATATTTTTAGACTTTATGATATCTTCACCATCTCTACTTATAAAAAAAATCTATTATTTAATTATTTTATGGCGCATTCTCCATTATCTACCATATTAAATTATTTTCAAAAACTATTAAAAAATTAAACAAACATAATAAAATTTTATAAAAAATATTTTTTTCCAAAAACAATAATTTTTTTCATAAAAAAATATGAAACAAACAGGTATCAAAGGGGTGCCATTCCTCTCCCAGAAACTCATTGACCTGACCCTTCAGTTTTGAATTGATTTTTAGAATTTCTTTTGTACTTTTGAATCGGATTTCTTTTTTATTTTGGAATTAATTATGGAGGGGAAGAAGAAATTTTGGAAGGGATGGAGATTTCAAGAAATTCGTTCCAGACATGGTCTATTCTATAGAAAATTTTTGAGAGGGGCATTGCAGTCTTTTCACTTTTAAAATCATTAAAATAAATATAAAAATATAATTTAGTGTTATCATTTTCAATACCATACCAAACAAACATATAATAATCATAAGTACCAAGAAACCTCATATATACATATCAATAAAGTTAGTTCCCACATCGATAACGAGATTCGATCTCATGATTTTATGACTTATGGACTAAATCATTATCATTAGGCCAACTTTTATTATTAGTGTTATAGGGTTTGACATCTACTCACACTAAGCCATGTAGTATTCTTATCACCTGAGCTATTCTCGTACGTGTTATTTCAATATTTGCTGTTTTATTTATCCAAAAAAATATTTTCTTTTTTAATTTATTCAAAAAAAATTTTTCAAAGGTTATTGACTCAAAAATAATAACCCGATTGTACCCTATATTTATTATCTAAACAAAAGATGTACAAAGTATTTGAATGTAAAAACAAAAATTAAAAGAACGAAGAAGAAAAAAAAAATGTTTGCTTGATGGATCGTCTTGCCATTTGCTTTTGATGGTATTTGTTTAATGATCTTTTGTGTTTGTTTCTCTCTTATTTATAGACATGTTAGGTCTTGAAAAGATTTGAATACAAATAAAAGATAATCCTTGATTATCTTCTATTTTTTAAAATTATTTGAGTTTTGAATTTTAATTCAAATAAATCAGATTTAATTATTTTTACTTATCTTTTAACGAATGCGAATATACATATATAATGCTTTATAAAAAAAAAATCAGTTTGCCATGGTCCTTTTTCTCACTAGGAATTTCATTTGAAGAATAAACAAAAAGTTCGCAAAGTCAAAATTGGCTAAAAGAAGTTTGCAAAGTCAAAGACAATCTTCATCAAGAAATTCAAAAAAAGGAATCAAATAAAATGAAAAAAATATTAAAATATAAAAAAGTCTGTTAAATAAGTCTACTAAAAAAATTCTCTTGAATTAATTAAACAAAAAATACACATTAAAAGAGTTGGTTATTTCATCTTCAAAATTGTGCTACAAAATTTAACTTTAAATAAAAAATTATCTTATCAGTCTGAGCATGATTTTTTGAAGATTCCTATTTAAAAAAAAATTTCAAAAAGACCAATCTTGAAATTAAGGTATATTGACTCTAATAGATTTACTACTACTACTAATTATATATAAATTGAATTAACATAATTTTAAAACGTTGGATACATCTTAAGATTAAGGATGGAATATGCTTCAAATATTGACTTTTTGATTTTTCTACATTTTTATGAAAAGAAAAGACTTGAGTACTAAGTTTGGAGAAATTTCTTAGGTACACTTAGTACATCATGTTACTTATACTCTCGTAAAAATACTCCGAGTCATATTATTTTAATTCTATCCAACAATCTATTAATTTATAATATTTTAATGTTTATATCTTAATCCTTAGTCTTATATATTTAATTTAATTTTTTTTCAATCAAATCACAATAAGTAAATTTTAAAATATTAATAATATTAAAATTAAGAATCTGTTATAGGATTATTAAGTATATACTTTTTCTATTCAAAAGTCAAATAAATTTAGTTTATATCTTTTCCTTATTTTAAGTTTTCATCTTAGGCCAATCTTTCCTTCTTCTTCTTTCCTTTTTCTTTTTTTTTTTAAGTTCAAGAAGTTCATCGTCATTGTGGTTGTCATCGTGATGCAATTTTTTTTTTGAATAATTATAAAAAATTTTTACGCAATACGTTGTGCTAAGTCCAAATTGGACTTAATCAAGTGAGGGCAGTGAGCTCAAGTAAGTTGAAAATTATAAAAATATACATATACATATATATATATATGTATATGTATATTTAGAAAACATAACCTAATTATATAAATTTTGAGTTATAAAAATTATATAATCAATTCTAAAATTATATAATTTTTTAATAAAAATATAAAGTGTATAACTTTATTTTTAAAGAAAAAATTCAAGAATTTTAATCCTTAGGGATTAACATATTTAATCAATCAAATTATATGGGCTTCAATAAAACAAAGTAAATTATGTGGATTTAACTCAAAATTAAAAAAGACTACAAAAACTCAGATTAATTTTTTCAAAATTTTAAAGGCATCAGAGAAATGTGTTGAGTCTCAAAGTAAAAAGAGATTAAAATAATGAGTTTATCTTTATTATTTCATCAATGAGAAATGAAAATTAAAAACCGGAAAAGGAATGATAGTTATAGAAGTAATAATAGTAAAAACGTGAAAAAGAAAACATAAGAGTTGAAATAACTAAAATTTTAAATAATTAGGATATAAAAAAAATTTGACGTTATAAATATTATAAAACATGAATTTGAACTTGGAACAAATTTATAGATTAATATATATTCAAATGAAAGATTTAATTTAAATATAAATTATCATTAAACCAAACACAAGTTTGTTCTTAGTTTTTAATATCTTTTTCATATTCTTTTTTTTTGTTTCATATCTTTTTCATATTTTAAGTTTAATAGATTAATATATTATTATCATCTTTATTATTGTGTGTGTGTGTGTGTGTTTTTTTTTTTTTGGAGATATGGTTGTGTTAAGTCGAACTTGGATTGAGCCGAACAAGTTGAAAATTATACAAAAATTATAAATTGGACCAACATAACTTATTAAATAATTCATAGTAGAATTACATGATATTTTGGTAACAATATTCTCTGGTTAGGTGCAAAATTTAACAGAAGTTAACATATATCCTCAACTGCACTATATCTTCCATGATATGCAAATATCTTTCTTTAGTACAAACTTGAAAATAGTCTTTCCATACTAATCAATAGTCCTTAAACACTAGGAATTAAGATTTATAACGTCATACATGTTGGTCATCATCATAATATCTCTACCACTCCATTGCTTGCCTTTAAAAAAAATCTATATATAACCATTGATTCATTACGACTGTAGTCCATTTTATTTTTTATTAATCCATTCTATTCTATTTCATTACTTTTCAATCACGGAACAAACATGCTAAAGAAGTTTAAGATATTTTATGACTAATATTCTTAACAACGAAACATATCAGATTTTTTCAGTATTCATACTACAAATTGAAAATTAATCACGTCCTTCGCGTTATAGAAGATGATGAGATGGCCTGGTTCCTCCAATATCGATATCAGGCTCCATTAATTCTGGAAGCATGCTTGGGATGATCATAAAATCACCGTTTTCTGTGTCCAAATTGTGAAGGATCTATGTACATTCAAGCATCATCTGAACTTGACGTTCCATTGTTGATTTCATTGAAAGATGAAGGACTAGCAGAAGCTTGAGAGATTTCTGATGAATGAGGATTGTTGAATTGAATCGGATCCATATTGTTTCTTTGAGGCTGTGATTGATCTTGAGAATCAGTTTGAGAAGAATGAGTCATTTTGTTTATAATTTCATTCTAGGAGAAGCATGAGAGATTTCTAATGAATTAAAATTATCCAACTAAATCATATTCATACTGTCGCTTTCAAGCTATGATTGAGGTTGAGAATGAGATTGAGAAGAATGAGTCATTTGAGTTGATTCTTTTCTTAAATATGGTTCTAACCACCGTGCGTCCTCCTTAGTATAGCTATTTATGAAGTTCTTGTTTTTGTTGTTGTAAATCTTACATAAAACCCAATCACCCAACTGCAAAAGTGTAAAAAAAAATTGATACAACAATATCAGTATCCTTTTTTATAGAAAAGAAATTTTCCATTTAGGATAATCCTAATAATTAGAAACACTATAAAGATTACAAATCAAAACTATATATTCCTTTGATAATCCATTTCATAAATCACTTTATATAAAAAGATTGATGATTAATTACCTTCTTCTAATTTTACCTTTTCACATTATTTTAGTAGAGTAAAATGTTGCATGTGTGAGAAATAAGTATTCTAAAAGATGATATTTTCTAACAATATCAATGATTTATCAACCATTTCTTTCTTTTAGCAAAATAGTTATAACTTATAATTAGGGTTTGGCTCGGTCAGACTTGGTTCGTCAGCCCAACCTTGAAAACAAGACGCTTGACAAAAAAACCAGACAAATTAGACCAAATCATAACTTTTGAGTTAGAATTAATTACATCCTAGAAAGCGAAAAACAAATGTTTCTCAACAAGAGCAAGAAATTAAAGCCATATTAACCAAACTAGATCATATAACTATTCTAGGATTCCAGTTTTATTCAGTAGCTTTAATAACAATTGTCTTATATATAAGGCTGGATGAAGTACTACTAACCTTTGTATCTAAGGAACTCGCTCTTGCATGTGTTGTCAGATCCAAATAATACTCATGCATGATCCAAAAGTCTTCTTGCTCTTTTGATGATTCCTTTATAATAAATCAAAGTTCTACCTTTTCCAATTAATGTTCTTTCATCATCAAAATGAATGGACCGACATTTTTTCTGTCGGCTTCCAATAGCCATCTTGTATTGATCCATTTTGACATATTGGTGAGAAAAAGTACCACACATTTTCTCTAGACCCCCAGCTCCTATATTGTCCTGTGTTTATAATTAATATACATGTATAACCAAATTAGTTTACTCCTGTGATTGTTATACTTCACAAAAATATACGAGACTAATCCATTATGTCATTAACTATGAAATATGATTTGTTTGACATGAAAATTTATTGGGATAATGAATTTTTTTATTCCAAAGCTTGTCTCAATTTTCAATTTAATTCTTAAAGTTTAATTTTTATCAATCAAGTTTCTAAAAGTTTATAATCATACATGACTACCTTGCTTACAAGCATCTTTAATCACACCTCTTTTTGTAACCCATTTTACATCCCCTTCAAACCATAAAGACTAATTTTATATGGTTATTCAATTTAAGGGACTTGACAGATTAAGAATAAACTTCAAGGACCAATCAATAACTAATAAAAAAATTACTATGATAATGAAACTTCTGATCCTAAAGTTTGCTTCACTTTTCTATTTAGTTCATAAGGTTTAATATCTAACAAGCAAGTCCCTAAAAAATTTTATAATCATACACAATTACCTCAATCGCTTATATTCCATTCCCACCCCGTTTTACATCTCCTTCAAATCATAAAAGGACAAATTGTACATGGTAATCAAATTTTAGGGGCTTGATTAATAAAATTAAATTTCAAGAGCCAATAAATAATTGAGGCAATCACATGGGACAAAAAATTTCATTATACCAATATTTACTAAAAAAGTATTCAACTACAACCGTATTTCAAGTAAGCTTATCAATTATACATACTAAAATGTTAACATATATAGTTTCCTCTTTCCATTTACAAACACATACATGAGAATAAAGGAAGAATGGCATTAAACAGCTAGGTCTCCAATTTTTTTGAAAAATTAATTGTAAATAATCATCAATTCAGGAGTTATAACTATAAATAAGACATTTAAATTTTAAATACAACTCTCAATTTTTAATTTTAAATTTTCATTTGCAATTGTTTAAATCAATATTTACAACTTATTTCTCATAAATTCCCAGTTTTGAGGACTTTATTGTCATTCTTCCCAAAATAAAAAACATAAAACCCTTTATTAAAATATTAATGAAATATATTGAATCATAAAAGATTAAAGAAACTTACTGGATAATTCTTTAGAATTGAACTTAAAGACTTCAACTTCAATAATTATTGGTTCGAATGGCTCATTCATCACTTTCTCCCTCAAATAGGCCATGATCAGCTCTTGATCTATAGGGCAAAATGTGAATCCACTTGGAACTATTTGCCAAAAATCATTAACATTGTTTTCACATAATCCTCCATTAATGTGATTTGTCAGACTACTATCTTCAACTTTTTGCTTCTTAGACTTCATGCTTTGATCAATTAGCAAAGAAGATGATTGGTTCCTCTTCGGCATCGTACGTGGTTTTTAAAGTCGTAAATAATCTGCCACATAAACCCTAGGTTAAAACATTGATTTATAAAATGTGCAAAGCGTATATGGTAATTAAGAGGCATTAAATAAACTAGTCGCTTTTCCTTCTGGAGTATATATTCATTAGCCTCTATTATAAAAAAATATATAAAAAAACAAAAATAAATTAAATCTCTCAAGAATAAAAAAATAAAAATATTAAACATCACCAATATTATGATATCACTAATATTTAGATATATTATATAAAATACATTATCCATTTCAAGCGACTACTCCCATGGGTCAATAATAGTGAAATTGTAAATGTGTCTCACGCCCCAAAAATAGAGAATGACCGACACGAAATGTTGCACATCCACATAAGCCTCAAAATGTAAGTTCACTTCATTTTCAAAATAATTTTAGATTTCTATTGAAATTTTAGCATTCTTAATATTAATCATTATAACAAAGTTTCAACTTTTTTTATAAAAATTTCAATAAAACCTCCTCCCTAAATAAAATCTCCCAAAATTTCTACGATACAAGATTTTTCACAAAATAATCCATCAATCAAGAGCTTAGCTCCTTCTAACCAACCGACAGCATATATATCAAAATAAAAGCACTAATTATAACCTATGTAAAGCACCTAACCATACTTTTCAAAAATAAAATGCATAAGTATTTATAATTACATCAAAAATACACGTCTATAAGTTCTTAGGAGCCAAAAGGAGGATCGGCGTTAACTAAGATTGCTGAGACCAAAAATAATTTTTCAATGAATAACGTTCCAACAATAAATAATAAAATATAAATAAAATAAAAAGTTTAAAATAATTATGTAAGTTAAAGAGACAATAATTTTCGTAAAAATTTAATAAATTTCATAATAAAATGGCTCTATAAAATTTTAAATAAAATCTCAAATCATTAAACTATCATAACAAATGTTAATTTTACTTGATTTCAAGAAAGCACTTAAATGAAATAAATATTTATAAATAAATTATTAAATAAAAACCAATAGAATATGAAATCATCAAATGATTGAATTTATAATTATAAGAACTTATCAGAATAATTAACAAACTTGAACACACAGTTCACGAGAGTAAATAACCAAACGCGGCTTATGCCATGAAAACAAACATAGACACACAGTCCATGAAGGTAATGCTAACTAAACGTAGCCGAAGTCACAAAACAAACGTGAATATGATGCTCACGAATAACCATTCCTTCGTTTCACGTGCATTGGCCATCACACCAGGCTAGCACCTCCTATAAACACCCTACTAGCTAGGTGTACCATGGCGCGCCAAGGGCTAACGAAACTATCATTAGTAATCAGTGTTTTATATAAAATCCCTTTTTAAAACCATTTTCAAACATACGAGAAAATTATCACTTTCAAAATACAGTTCTCATTCTCAAAAATCAAACTCACATGAATACTTTTAAGCATTAAAACTTGCCAGAATAAAATTTCATATCCAATGCTCATACTTGCATTTGTTAAATAATCAAAAATTCTCAATGCTAATGAAAAGAAATTTATTAATCCTGAAAGAATATCTTATAAGGGGTAAAACATTCATATGCTATGATGAATCATTTTTCACCACCATCTTAAAATTTAAAAATGAAAAAATTTAATTAACAAAGTATCCACTAATCAACATAATTATTATTAAAATAATCAATGTAATAAAATAAATTTTAATAAGAAAAATTAATTCATAAATTAGTTGGGACACTATCTACTTACCTGTAGAGTCTCCAAGTGTGTAACTTACTTTCAACTGATCCTCTAGTACAATATTTGACCTTTAAATTCCTAGTATCCAAGTAATTATATTATTGTTATTCATTTATAAACTTTATTATTCAAGACTTCAATCCAAAATTCCAAAGATATATCACAAATAAACCTCAATCTTCACTTTTCTCAAACATTGTATCAACATTTTACAAACATGAACTCTTTAACTAATAAATTTAGGTTCTTTTATCCAAATCTTATCCCAATCATTATCCATAAACTTTTCAATGTCAATGCATATTTAAACTAATCAAACTTCTTCTTCAACATAAATCAACTTTAATACTCAAAGAAAATCATCTCCCAACTTCACATTACTCACGATAGACAAAAAGGAAAGAAAGAAAAAAAAAATTCATAATCTTAACCAACAATATCTCAACAACCAAGAATATTTTCATAATCAAATTTCTTTGTCACTTTCAACTTAAACTCAACTGAATAATATTTGAGTCAATCATTCCTCTCACTATAATTAATAAAATTTGAACAAGAAATATATCATCAAAGACTTTTCTAAAAGGCATTTTATCAAATATTTTACATACATGAATTTTCAAATTTTAATACTCAATTCTTCCCTTCAAATCCAATCCCAAAGTTCTTCCAATAATTCAACGGCACCAAGACTCCAATAAATTCAGCTCATCCACGCGGTCACAACCATAGAAATAGAGAAAATGATCATTAATTTCTTTTTTTATTTTTTTGTTATAACAATTTGTCCTTACCCACGCACACATATATATACAGCAGCCATAAAAAATCAAAATTTTTCCTCTCAAAATCCAATATATGCAGAATTAGTGAGTGAAAGAATCTAATAGCAGCAACTCACCACAAGTGCGCATATATCAAACAATGGGGAAAGAGAGGTGAGATTACTCACCAACAAAACAATGGGGAAATGGAGAGGGAGGACCGATACTTCCCACAGCCACACACAATCACCATAACGACATTTGAATCAGGAAAAGAAGAACAATAGCGACGCAAGGGAGGAGGTGAGGTCAATCATGACCTTGCGAAGCTCCTTGCAGCGGCGGACGAACGGACAGGCAACAATTCCTGGCTCCCTCGTCGATGATCGAAAAGCGAGAAGGAGAAAACAGGGAGGAAAGAGGGAAAGGAGAATCTAACCAAACGAACAAAAGAAGAGGAAGAAGAATCCGGCGCACCTTCTTTCCGGCGACAGTGACGAGAACGAACGACGGCGAGACTAGAGATTGGAAGTCGACGGGTGAAGCTTCTGGACGAGATCGCTCTCTCTCTCTCTCCATGCAGAATATCCAAAATGAATCGGGAAAGTGGATGAAAACAGATAAGGAGAAGGACATAATGGTAATTTTAATCAAACTAATAGCAAAATGGAAATCATTCTGACACTAAAGGGTTCAAACTTAAGAACTGATAATTATATAACCGACATAACTCACACCGTGCAACATTTTGGGCCATTACAAATGTGTGTGCGCGTGCGTGTGTGTGTAAAAGATAACATGAGGTTAGAGTCATTTAAATGAAATGATTGAAATCAACCCATATGAATACTGATGCGTGCTTCTTTCTACAAGCAACTCTTCCTATTTCCGTTTATAGGACCAATACCATGTTAACCCTCTGCTGTACATGAAGGCTTGATAAAATTTAATCAAGTAAAAATTAACTGAAAAATATTTGACAATTGTTGGAATACACCTAGGAAAAAAAAAGTGTCATGTCAATGTCTTGAAATCTATCAAGCAAAATCTTTTACTGGAAGCCACAGATGTATCAACTAGCAAATCACCTGTGTCCTACTAACTGATAAGCACTGAATTAGACACACCAGTGGAACCTCGTATGAAACCAGCATTCACCTTAACTTTTTCACCAAAATCCTGCCATGGATAAGAAATGGTTTGGTAATGCTCATCCACTTAATTCTGGCCAAAATCGTATCAATACCAGTAAAAATCTAGAAAATGAATATGGTGGGGGAGTTTATTTAACCCATATATATATCCATACCATCCATTTATATGATATAAAAAGTTAAGTTGATTTGTAACTTGGGGGCATTATAATATACGCACACGGTTAACAATATGACATTTGTTGAAGAGGCAGAAGATATCAAAGGTACAGAAAAATTCTCAACTGAACTCACAAATTTCCCAGCTATTCATGAATCCACGATGAGAGTATGCATGCATCTCCTTTCATATAATTGCATCAGCATTAAAGAACTAGTGATTGAATACAGAGGAAGAAGAATTTTAGGGATACTGGTGAAGGTAGTGCTCATAGGAATTGGGGGAAATTGTTTTAGTGTTTGAAACTGAACTCAGATCTATCTAGAGAAGCATCAGCTTTTCAATAGGCTTCTATATCTTTATTATTAATTAGAAAAAGCAAAGAGAAGATAGAGATACAGAATTTCTTCTGTACCTGATTGCTACAATCCATGTCACACAACTCAGAATTCCATCAGGTATCTCTAAACTAAGTCATATTTTTAATTCAGTCTCTCGATAAACCAAGATGCTCCCATTAACTTCAGTTAGATGAACATTTTTCTCTCTGTTTTGCTTATCAAAACAACAGAATTCCCCTAGTTATTTATTTATTTTTTTTAATGAACTAATTAAAGACAATTAAATTGTTGTCTCAATTATTGCTTTATTTCTTCATTCTAAGTAACAAATTGTTGCTCTAATTGAAACTACAAAAACTAAATCACACTTACTAGTAAATTATAGATCAATTGATTCTTATACATCTAGATTTCCCTTTTTTCAGCATTCCACAACTTCAAAGGATGCATGAAGCACTGCGTTTTCTTTTCTATTGAGACAAAAATAATTACCAGACAAAAAAGGCAAACTACTAAACGAGAAAACAATATCAGGCCAGAAAATGGCAACCAAAAAAAAAAATGGAGGACAGCAAGTCCACAAAGAAAGATGAAGTTAGCCATTTCTTAATTCCTTACAATAGCAGTTTACCATTTATTTCAGCCTATCAGAATCTTGTCCCTGGTTTACAACGAGGGAATAATTGATGCTCTTGTACTTTGTTTTATCTATCACCTCTGTCCCAAGCTATTTTATTCTATGGATATGCTCCCGATTACTTACATGTTAGGAATCTCAGAACATTACTGTAACTTCCTTTTCGAATTTCCTCTCGAACCATCCATAAGACTATAACAGTTTTCATATTCTATACTGTTTCCATTTCAAACTTTTTATAAGACTATAGATCTATAATAGTTTCATGTATCACTCCAAAGGTTGAAGCTACTTGCCAGATTAGCATAGTTATAAAACATCCAGAAAATTCCAACCTATGGACGTGCAAGACAGAACAGGCACGATTGACAGAGAAATGCAAATTCCAGATTCCCTAAAACTAATATTTGTTAAACATAGCAAGAAACTAACCGAGAAACCTTTGACAAATGGCAAAGGCAGTGAAAGCTTTAGGGCAATTCCTTTTCTAATTTCCTCTCAAGCCATCTATAAGACTATAACAGTTTCCATATTCTATACTGTTCCCTTTTCTAACTTTCTATAACTACAATAGTCTCATTTAAAAATTGCCTTTGAACAAGTTTTGATGATTGTTTGATCTTCTATCCAGAAACGTATTCTGCTGTTAAGGAGCTTGAATCTCTGTGGCTCTAAAGATCTGAAGAAGACACCTGTTTCTAGATAGATGTATGTGTGTGTCTTACATCAATAAGACTTTCTATTACCTTTCTACTGAAGTTAAATGGTATTTATGTGCTAATAATATGTTAAAAATACTTAAATTGCTTATCTTCTGGTTGCAGTGAAAACATTTTTCAAAATGCCTTTATTAACATTCAGCTAGACAGCAAGCGATGAACTTTTCAAATCAACTGGTTGATTTGTATGAATCCAGATACCTTACATGGCGCCTAACTCATATGCGTTAAACTTTTTCCCCCCCATCTGTGTTTGGAATTCCTTTAACTTCTATCTTTGCCGGGAAATTTAAGTAATTCATGTCATATTTTTCGGGAGGTTATGCTTTCAGACTATCACATTGACCATCTATCTTAATCTTAGGTTATTGCCGAGAGCGCTCTGAGGAAGAAATTGCTGGATTGAAGGAGTTATTCAAGATGATTGACACAGAAAACGGTGGAACCATAACTTTTTTTGAGTTAAAAGATGGTTTAAAGTGAGTGGGGTCTGGACTTATGGACTCTGAAATCACATTTCTTGTGGAAGCGATAGGATAAACTGTTCAATTATTAGATTAATCTCTTGTTGTTATTATCATTAGGTAGAAGCTGGTGGATTGATTATAATGAAGCTACTATAAAACAGATTTTTTCCCCTGCCAACGATGCAAAGCAGTTCTTTATGAATTTGTTTGTTTCATTTGAAAGGCACTAAAACTGAAATTTAACGGTGGTAAAATTAATAAATTCTCCCTCCAGTCCCTTATATAAGGTTTTCTAGACAATTTTCAAGAAAATTAAGAAAATTTGTTAGATTGTATCACACCCCGATACTGAGGGCATGACCAGCATAGAATATGAAATAACCTCACATTCCATAAGCTTTAACTAGCCAGAAATTAAACTACATTATCAATATATAGTTTTTATATATATATTTATAAAGTTCATAAGGTCTTAAATATTTTGTAAAAATTTTGATAAAATCTTCCCTGTAACTTGGACCTCCTCAAATTCTTATAATAGTGAAACTAGCCAAAGAAGGAGACTAACTTCATACCAGCAGATTATATATCAGCAAAATAAAACTAGGACCTAACCACGGTATACGTGAAGCATTAAGTTACAATTTCATAATATAAAATATATTTACATCAAAAGTAACTACCACATACTTTCACAGTTCCAAAAAATAATTGTGTCTCTCAGTGATCAATAAGAGATGTAGGGTCAATTTCAATATCTAAGACCAAAGAAAATTTTTTCGGTGAGTAGTGTCCCAATTGATAGTTAAAAGAAATAATGAAAAATAATCAATGAGCCAATTATAAATTTACTAAAATAATCATTTAAAAATAATATAAACCAAGAATACATAAATACAAATGAAATTATTAAAGTTTTAAATTCCAAATTATTAAATTTCTATACATGTTTAAACGTCTTAGGATATATATATATATATTATTCAATATAAAATCCACATCTAGTTAAAAATAGCAATTTACATCTTGAGATCAATTTAAAGAAAATAGTTTCAAAGTTCCTTCTTTAACGGGACTTGATCAGAATGATTAACAGGCGTGGACACACAGTCCATGAGGATAAATAATATATCTAACGTGGCAAAAAGCCATGAAAACAGACACAAGCATAAAGCTCACGAATAACAGGCGTGGATCATATCCACAGAACTACATCCTCCATTTCGCTTGTGTTGGCTGGCACACGAGCTAGCACCTCCAATGCACCTTGCTAACTAGGTGTACCTTGGCACGCCAAGGGCTAATGAAATTGCCGTTAGCATTCAGTGTTTTGAACTCAATCCTCCTAATTAAATCAAGCGTACATGGGGTTGAAACATTCATTTAAAACCATTTCTTTTAAGATATAATATTCAGCTATCAAATTTTCTTTTTAATTATTTTCTCCATGTACGAATCATCACATTAACCACTGTCATATAAATTATGAAATTTAAACACTAGAAATGTTTACAATAGATAATCGGTTAATAATGTACCAGTTCCAAATATTCTTTAACAATAACATAATTCTTAATGAAAACAAAGCAAATTCTATAATAAACCAATTAATATAAAAGTGAGGTAAGTAAAAAGAACTGTACAAATCATAAAAATAAAATTTAAGAATATTTATACAACTCATAAAGAAATGCTATAAAAATTTAAATGAAAAATTTTATAAGCACTTTTGCAAGAAATTATTTCGGAATGCTACTCATTCACCTAAAAGTTTCCGATAATTCTAAAATTTGCCTCTCTTAACTTTTCACTTAAATTCTAATGATGCTCTTAGTTTCCTAACAAGTAAATCATGAGTCTAAAATCATTTATTAAGAAATTTTTCAAGATCTTAATGGATATTTAAATTTAACCCAAACAATATTAAAGATAATACTCTAACAACTTATATTACGAGTGTACTGGAGTTAGCTAAACCATTTGATAAATCTCCATTTTTCCTCATACTTCCTTATGGCCCATTCTCAATCATAAATCATAATAAATTTAATCAACTTTTCCCTTCTTTTAAGCATTTAGACAAACCTCTTCAGA